GACACCCTCAAGGTGAATTTTGCAGATTCATCCTGTTGGCCAGGTGGGGTTAGGTGAATAACCACACTTGGGTCTTGTATGCGTGTTTCTGAAACACAACATACATCAATGGCTCGGGATGCCAGAGTCTTGGCTAGTGATGCCTGTTGTCCTATTTGGCAAAGTGTCCTAACATTAAATGCCCCTATATGAAATTGGTGACGTGGCTTTAGGAGACTATCGGTAGTGGTTTTTTGGCTTTCGTCGTTTTCAGTGCACACAGAGTGAAGAGGAAGTGAAGAGCCATTAAGTAGAGGAGTTGCATTAGTAGAAGGAAGGCAAGATAATAGAGATGAAGATGAAGACAAAGGTGAGTGAGGATTAGAGAGGTTTTGCGTGCACTTTGGAGTGTGAGGGCGATTGTTACTTCCCGGCTGCCCACACCGTGGAAGTTGGTTGCGTGACCACTTAGGTAATAGATCTCACAGTCATTGACAGGCATTTTGATGGTTAGGTTATTTTGTCCATTCGGCCCAATGAGACCCTTTAATCTATAAAGTTAGTAAATTGTACCGATTCACTTTTCAGAATTCTTGTTTGGTTTTAAAGGCAATTGACCTTACTTATAAGGCGTGAGATAATCCAAAGTCAAAGCTTTCTGTAGACACTGGTGTATGAGTATTTTCTTTTTATTTTACAATCTAACATAGCTAATTCTCCTTGTTTATTTTTTAGCTCAAAGTCAAATTCAAATCCCTATACTATAGATTTCAAATGTGTGAAGAAACCAGAGATACGTTCTGTGTAAGGGTTAAAATAAAATGGGTAGCAATGGCATCTCGATATTAACAGTTGAAGTAGATTCTTCTCTGGGCAGCTGGGAAAATATAACTCTTAAAACAGGTAATCACACTCCGAAGATACACTGCAGATGTGACAAAGTTTGTCACCCACATTATCTTCACCCTCATGTAAAATTGAACTTGTGTGCTGGCATTAGCATAGAGTTACTATTACCATTAAGTTCAGAATCTAGAATAAAAAGCCACATGCGAAAGATACTTTAGCATAACTTTGCTTGCACACTAACGCCTGATTTGTGTACAAAGTTCTCCTATGCTAAAATATACAGCAAGAAGCTACCGAAACTTACCCAGGTACGCTGAATATGTTCTCTTTCTTCTGTTAATCGTGTTAAACATGCCCATGTTGATCCAAAACTTTTGACAGTTGATGATATTTCATTCCAATCTCGAGTTAACTCAACTGGTATAGAGGAAGAACTAGATACATGCTTTTCAACAAGAAGTAAAGCAGCCTCACAACAACTACCCAAAAGAGCACCGCGTGATAATTGCACAAATGAAAGCCATTTTTCTGTTGGTGATAAATGAATCGGATTGGCATCGAGATTATTTTCAACTGTATGGTTGAAATCAATGGTACTTGTAAGAGCCAACTCGTGAAATTCAGCTTCTACCATATTTCCCATAGCTTCTGATATAATATCGACAGCCTAATAAATGAACAGCAAAAACGGGGGGGGGGGAGGAAGGATGAAGGTGAGGATAATTTGGAAGAAAATGAGTGAAAAAAAAGAGACTAAGAGAGCCATTCCAATTTAAGAACACAAAAGTGGTCGCTAAATACACAGACTATCTAACAAAACATTTGATAAACACAAGAGGATTGGACATGCTCGTTTAACTTCAACTTTGTTATCCAAACGCTATGCTGATAGTATGTTGGTAAGTTATAGGTTTGTTACCCGGGGCACATCTTTTCGTGGATGACACCATTTTTCTGCAGAACAGTAAACAATTTGTACTTCCTACTTTTAAACATGAATCATGCACACTGTTTGGAGTCTTTGTCGGGAATTTTTCTATTTCAAATGGCACATCATTGAAAAGTGTTTCTAATTAGTTGGTCATGTAATTGGTGATATCTATATGGCACAATTCATTCCTCTGATTATAATATCAAAAATAATTTAGAACAGGTGGTTTCTGAATAACAGACTACGAGGTTCTAATACCCGATAAATGAACTTAAAAAGTTAAGTGGATGAAGTGAAGTTCACGTGTCCGAGTCGATGAGCTAAATCTTTACAAATATTACGGTGAAAGCATGTAAGTAATCATTCTAAGATCTAATAGTGGATATTTGAAGATAGCGTTAATCGTTATGTAATAACAGCAATTTTATTGGCTTCAAAAAGTTCTCTATATATTTCTTTTGTATACGATAAAGGCTTTCGCGCACACCAACCCAGTGTTTCAGTTGAATATCAAAGTGGTCGTCTATGCGCTACTGGTTCAAATCATACCAAGTTTTCTGTCAACCTCAAACATAACGCATGAGAACTTAAGGATCATTTAAAAACTCGACAGAAAGACGAAGAGATTACTTGCAGTTTTAAGGTGTTTCATTCAATTAACATTCATTATATTGAATCATAAGCTCAAATGTGTCGACACAAAAGCCTGGCTCGAATACCCCTAATGGTCCGAGAAGCGTCGGTGGTTTAGTGGTGGAACACTCCCAAACCACGGCAGGTGGTCCAGGGTTTGACTCCAAAACCGAAGCAATCCTAAACCTCGCTTAGCCGGTAGCAAGACCAGTAAAGCGGAAACTTTGGGCGTGAGGTTACCATAAAAAATGAACACCACTACTACTGAAACTTCAAAGCTCAAGGTCGAGACCCTATGTCCCACTTGGAATGTGAAATACAAAAATTGTCAGAATATGAACCAATTGATGGAAACTAATAAGTTATGCTTATCTTTAGTGACAGTAACGTATATTATCATACTTTTAGAATCACCAAATACTCACTAGACCAATGCACTTATGTAATAGTGCCAATAGTCGATCCTGAAATGTTTCCATAGAAACCTAGACATTCCAGCATACCGACAACTGCTATGACAATAGTAATTTTTTTAAAATACACAAGTGAAATTGGTATCGAAAGGTAGTGAAGTATATCGACATACTTTGGCATGATGGAGTTTAGCTAAACTAGTGGAGACTGACGCAAGCAACACATCGCCTGACAAAGTAGCCAACTTATTAGCTACCTCCATGTTCTTCATCCACGTTTCAGTGTCATCAGTTTTTCGTGCAACATCATCTAAATCGACTAGACTTCTGTAAACAAAATGTCAGAAATGTAAAAATAAGGTATACTTAGAATGTAAAAGATAAAAATGTTGACAATACAAAGGGTTGATACAACAGTTCGACAATATTCATATTAAGATGCTCACCATTTCAACTCGAAAATGCACTATAAGACCACCTAGCTCTACGAATCACACATTATATGACAGATTATGATTACGAAAGATTACATGGAACGATATCTGAATGCAAGAAGTGGCAAATGCCAAACAAGAATACTTTATCCATGCTCAGATTTAGTCAGCAATCGATCCTTTACAGCTGATGCAATTTCTCAAATAAGTAAGGTCTATACATCCGACCACTTCATTCCGTTATCCTTAAAGAAAGAGTCGGTACAGACCAGTCCCGTAAAACTATTTTACATCTAACAGTGACAAGCCACGTGCCAAAAATACTCAGATTTTTCCTCGGTGTTCAGTAGACTGCGTTTTGTCAGTGTATCCACATTAAAGGATAATATTATCAAAGACCTATCTATGAAAGTAAGCAAACCACTTAAACATCGTACGCAGTGGACACAACCACGTAGTTGACCAGAGGTTTTTGTGCGATACAGTTAGTTTTTAGAGGTCGTTTAGCTACTTCAACAATTTTGAGAGCTTCATAATTCGGTAGAAGTTAGTCTTTGGGACTAAAATATTGTCAATTATCTGCCCACCAGGAGCGTTTCGGCTTTTCAAACAAGTTAACCACATCACACTACTTCATAGGAATTTGAACCTTGACAAAATCATAATCTCTCAAATGACTTAGACAGCCCTGGAGACATCAATAATTGTAACTGCAAAAGAATCAAAAGCCATCTTCATAAGTGTATCTGTGACAAATTTTAATACTTGACCCATTACTTGAAGCTGCCATCTCATTGAGAAAAGCACATTTAGTCTGGGACCACAGTTTCAAGGATAACCAATGTAAACTCAGAAAAAGAGTGACAGTAGATAATATAGTAGATATTTCAACGGAAAAACTTCGTCAGAAGCATATAACCACGAAGACCATTATTGAGGAGATGCTAAAAAAAGTTAGTAAACATTGTTTTTCTTAAATCGCTACTTCCTTCCAATGGGACAGTATTACCAACTTGATAGTGCCAGAAACGCAAACATATATGTGAACTTCAGCCTTGGTAAAATCCAAATCCTTCTTAAGTAACGAACCAAAACTAATTCTGAGTAAATTACACAATTTTATGAACAATCTAACAAAAAGGCAGTAGTTATATATATGATGTAAAATGACCTGCTTTAACAAGACTGTAGTTGCAGGCTTTCGACTGTTTGCAATTACAGTAGAATAAGTGGTAAATACATAAGCATTTGAAAACTACGCGCACAAACTTTACTGCTCGACGAATAAAAATTAGACTTCAATATTCATATTTATGAACGGTAATGACAACCAACTAACTTGTGAATAGCTACTGCAGTATGGACCGTTTCAAATATTTCTGCCAGACTTCGATGCTGATTGCACAATTTTGTTGAATTTGTAGGACTGGCATACGACTGACCAACTAAAAGTATAATCAGACCACCAGTAGGACGTTCAGACGTTATTGGTGGAGAAAAATGATCTGATATAGCAGAGGAAATGGAGAATAAGTTATTAACAGATTTGCCTCGAAGACAGGATCGTACAGTAGAGAAAAAAGGATGATTGACATTTGACGCCAACCGGCGTGCACGAGATGCTAGGGAACCAGCTTCCGAGGATAGTATGGAAGCTAAATTAATGAATGGAGCTGGACCTCCAAGTAACTTTTCCGCTTGACATATCAGTTTGGACCATGTTACTGTCATGACTGGAATAAAAACAAGTAAATAGCAAAACTATGGTTGTGATGAATGAAAGGTAAGCGGAGGATTCAAACGTGTGAGAAGATTATCTAGATCAAGTTCATTCCAACAAACACTGTCAAAAAAATCTGAAGCTGGGATTTCAAAACACCGCTGGCCACCAACAGGTTGAGGTTCTGGATCAGGAAGAGAATCGGGTTTGACCAAAATAAGTTCGAAAGGTAATGTATCGTCTCCCCAATCTGCTCCGACTATGTCAGTTAAAGGTCCGTCAGCAATATATTCGGCATCAGACATCTGGAATAAAATCAAAGACAAAATCGGACTTGTGAAGAAATTCATGAATTAGTGTCACATGAAGTTATGATATGCTAGTAAACAAATAAGTATACAATAATGAAGCCAAATGGCACAAAATGATAACTATCATTCCTAGCACAATTAGTCATCGTCTGAATGGTCTTCAGTAAAGAAAAATGGTCTTAACTTGAAACTTCCGGCTTTAACATACTGAAGACTATCAAACAGTTTCATAAGCTGTGTTTTCTAGTGTTACAAAGTTAACCATGTTCCTTAAAATTCAGAATTAATGCAACACAAGAATCACACTGGCAACTGCTTTCAGTATGATACTTAGTGACATGGAATTCTATTAAGCTTGTAGACAGCGATACTTCTTCGCTACTACAAATAAGAGAATACCTATGTGAATCATGTTCTACTCCATAAATGATAAGGAATCACTTGCATTTATTTCAACAAAAACCATGATTAATTTCCCTACTGTAGAAACGCTAAAAATGCACAAACAACAAAGGGTAATACTGAAAGTCAAAGAAACGATGTGAATAGTCGACTTTTTGTGTCACGTTTGAACGTGTCCGGTTCTACTTTCTGTGCTACTTTGAAGTCGAGATGATTAACTTCTATGAGGAATGCTACGTTAGTTGATCAATTAAGTTTTTGAGAAAATTCTTGAACTCTAGAGGAAGGAAAAATTGTCAACTGGTAAGCATACATGTAGGCATATATAAAGGCGAATGTCACGGTCTCTTAACACATACAAAATTCCGTGCTGACAGGAAGTCTCATAAACAGCATTTTATTTTTCTCGGGTATGCGAATGATTAAAATGCGGCAAACATCACTATTTATTATTTAATTCATTTTGGATTTTTCCTTTGGACCGGAATGTTCGGTCTCTGTTGACATGTCAGCTCCTTATGAGGATGCTCCAATGATGCCTGACTGTCTGAGGATTTGATTTGCAGTAATTTGGTGGATGGTGACTAGCAGTGGAATCTAGGATGCACATTTCGTCCTATTTGTGACTGACTCGTCATCTGGATGTACCTACATCCCCCAACTGGAACATCATCGCTCACTGGGGAGTGCAGATACATCTGGCTGACGATTCGGTCCCAAATGAGACGAAATGTGCATCCTGGATTCCACTGCTAGCTACCACCCAACAAATATATATATATATCAGAGTAGGAATACAAAATGGAGAATTGAACTATAACTTTAGAACAGCCATCTCACACGAAAAGGCAGTTTGGCATAAAAGGAGACATAAACGTTAAGCGCAATAAGATAAGGAACAGGTTTTCCATAACGCAACAATAAAGACTGAACATGATGTAAACTAAAGGAAATCCGATGACGAATACGCAAAAGTAATGTTATCAGACTGTGAGTTTGTGAAAATGGGTTTAATTTTATTTTTTTATGTATTCCCTTGTTTTCGTGTGGCGAACATGATGTCAGACTAGTGTCGAAAGTGAATCAGATTTTCAAATCTTTCACATCCTTGCATAACATTCATTTCGTTGGTGGCTGCATTTTTCTGTGATAGATTTCAACTGTATATGGATCTAGGCGATATCCTAAATTAACCATTTACCATCTGGCGAACATTACTAATTTTTTTACTTGAAAACATGAACTTAGTACAATATGAGCACAAAGCAGAACACTGCACAGAACAAGCCAACAAAAATAAGAGACTGACAGAACCAACAGAACGAAAAAATATAAGATTATTCAAATCAGCATTCATAACTTCGTCTTACTTTCAGAAAGAGATGGAAAGAGCCAATTGTAACATTCTCACTATTGATTTCGATTTTGAGCCATATACGATAATGTCTTGAGTCCCTAAGTCTCATGAACTCATAGGCCAGATGATAACCCAGCACTACTGTCCTTTATCTCACGGCGTTACATAATGGGCTGACTATTACTCAACCTTTCTAATCCCGTCCTAGGGCTAGCACGTATTGTAGGACTAAAATAGTAGCATGCATAAACCAGCGCTGGTATTTTAAAATGAAATAACTAATATATAACTAATTACAATGTATGAAAACACCTTGTTTAATCTCGGAATTAATAAGACGATGACGTCACCGGATGCAAGCAATCCTGAGGAGACAATTAAACACGCAAAGTCGCTAAAGATCCTGAGTTCAGAGGCCGATGAATGGGCATATGACAAGAATGAGCGCAACAAAGAGTTGCAAACTCGACCTTTGATGGCCAGAGAAACACTGTAAGAGAACCAGATGGGTCCCAGGTTGCAGCACGCCGTCCTGGGTTTTACTGTGTGACTAGAAATTTCATCCGTCATGTCTCCACCAGCACACACAACTACTCACATAAGTGGAAGCGACTACTTCATCTGCCAAAGTGTGTGACGCTATGAACTCCTATTAATTTTGAACCGGTAAATATGTACTTGAAGGAAGTGATGTATATACCATAATCGCCAAGTGATTATGGGTGACTTAGGTGGCCTTTAATATTGCACAGCAGACTGAGGGTTAAGTTTTTTTTCAGACAATAGATCTTAACACCACCACAACATATTCTAACTTTAAAATGTCATCGATGGCGAAGTGAAAGAGAAATGGTTAGATAGGAAAACTGGTCTAACCACTGGGTTTAGCAATGGTGGTAGCTCATCATCCACCTGTACTACACATGAGACGTTCTGTTATTGGGTTATGAGGATGTTGATAAACTCTGAGCGAACACCTCTTTAACAGATATTTCTAAAGAGCATTCCCAATCAACAAATAAAAAATAAGCTTAATATCAACAAATACGATTATCAACTTGCAGGATTACAATTTAGACAGCTATTCAAGACATAGACAGCGGATGGCAATGTGATCTATTTGAGTATGCATGTGTCGAAGGGATGTCACTATGTGGCACTACAATTATGGCTGTGCCGAAAGTTAGTGGTGGTTAGAAATAGGTTGTGATTTGTACAGAGCTGCAGAAGACAGTATTAATTATTTGGTCTGTGATTGTTTAATCCCTACTGATTATCCAAACAGCTCCCATTTGTTCTTAGCCCCTTAACTGATACATAAAGGTTCCCAGCTAGCCCAGTGATATATCAAGCTTGCTTGTTCAGTATCATTCAGTTGAGATTGCAATCCATTTAAAGATAGGCAGAGATGTCCAAGCCACAAACATTGTACACTTAGCATTCAACACTCTGCGGGTGATGTAAGAGAACACGGCAGTCTCAAGTGTCTTGCTTCAATTTTCATTCTTTTATGTACATTCTACGGTGACAACTCAGACAGGAATCTCGGTCGAAGTCTGACTTCGAAAAGTCGACTCACTAAAGGGACAAACCTCAACATGGATTAATAGTGTTGACCCAAGTCTTGATCCATGATTAGTAAAAGGATAATGACATCACAAATTTGCTGTTGATAGCAGTCGCGGTATCATCACTCAGATAGCCAACATGAATCTGCGGTCTAGCTGAACATCTAAGTAATTCGCATCTTTGTTTACTACACTAATTACCTCACCAGTCATATTTACTTATATCATTGTGAAAATCAGTGAGAATAGAACTCACGGAAGTTTGGTTTCCAATGCATTGAGATCTAAACATCTCAATTATGTTTTATCTACGCTTCATAACAGCTGAGTAGAGAACAAGCAAAATTCGTAGCCGATTTCACGACATCGGATAAAACATTTTAAGGCAAGCTAAACTGTGATAACTGTAACATGAAGCTAAGACAATGTGACTGGTTTTCTTTTCAGATAAACATAGTAATGTATTCATCCACTTCCTAAAAATATCGAGAGTTCTAAGCTGGCAGTTTAAATCGTCACTTCAAACGGTATCACACATTTACGTAAGATTTTAGATACGAGGAAAGCAATCATGAGGGATCTCACGAACACTCATATTCAAGATATTAGTCGTATTCCTCATTTACATACTTCTGTATAGATATCTGAGACAATGAGTCTGAAAAAATCAGTTAATCGTTTGTAGCACGCACCACTTTATCTTCACGGAGCAAAGAAAAAGCAACCAAATATTTTACTGGCGTTCATAATGCTTTTAACCTGTTGTTTTAGGATCGTACCAGGTACTTGTTAATTAGTCTATAACAAACATGTTGCAGGCGAAATATTGGTAGGAAATGTTCAAGTAAATACAGGGAGACTGCAGGTTAATGCAGAAAAATAGGCAATCTACCAAATACCTTACATGTAAGGAGAGATCCCGTAACCACTGCCTGATGGGACACAATTTAAATTTGCTTTCTCAAGGTCAACAGTATTCAGTATTTCAATAGGAGGTTGGTGAGATTCTGATATGCAAAACGACATTAATTTAAGTAAAGAACTGTAACTAAGTGCTAAGATCCATCACGAAGTAATATGTTAAAATCCGTGGAGATAAGAATAGCTAATCTTAGTATAATTCAGTAGACCATCTGTGGATCGCTTATAAGTCAAATTTTTTTCCAAATCTTTTTTATTAAAGCTTGATTCCACACAGTTTTTCGGAACATCTATGGAATTTTCAGCTTGCGTTACCGGTAGCCTAAATTTAGCAGGCCGACCAATGATATCAGGTGTGCGTCGGCCGGGGATCAAACTCGGACCATATGCGTAGTCTGCGAGCGTGCTAAACAGTGTGCCACTGACAAGACCGAAGCCTCGTTCTTTCAAGCTGTCACAATTAAATCTTGGAACACTGTATTCCATGTGCACTGTTAATGCTAACGGAGTTTAAATCTGAAAATTTTAAAATGAACCGTACCTCCGATTGGTATATTTTTCTAACAGGTACTGCCCACATATGTCTACCCATATAATTTTGTATATCAGGTATTTACTTCGTATAAAGTACTAAGCTTATTGGAGGACATAAATGTAAGCTTTGCAAATCAAAGGGGAGTTGTTGGATATTTCGAATATGAATATGTAGCATTCCGAATGAAATTGTTATAATTACGGATGCATTTTAACAATCCTTGAAATCAGAAGATATCAGAATACTTCTATGAATTGTTTTCGGCTATAAAGTAATCACTTTAAGAGAATTCACACATATTTATGACTATAAAAGTTGTATTCGCGTGAGTTGACAAGATCAAAGCGTGAACCTGTGATGCTGCTGTTCTGTCGATCCCCGACTGATTGGTCCTATTTTGGAAGCTTGCAAGGCATTACAGTAAGCCTCTAGGGGATTCAACAAACCATGAGTGAGAAAGTACTGTCACTGGAAATTTCACCCTACACCAAGTGTTCAGTCTCCTCGGAAAACCTCAAATAAAAGTAATTTTCACCAAGTTAGACATATAATAATGTATGCTTCGTCAACTGTTTTTCACACTGTCTTCGTCATCACAAAATTAGAAACCTTTATCCAAAATGATGATAAAACCTGGTTTCTTAAAATGCCTGTCATTTTCCTCAGAATGGAAGCGTGAAGCAACGTCGGTTAGGAGACACGGGCCGGACATCACCGTAGACTAATTAAACATATGAGAGACAAGATACTCACCACAATAATAGTCAGTGACACCACTATTAGTCTGTAAAAAATCCTTTATGGTCTTTTTCTGGATGTCTTTCACACTGACCAGAAGGATGCCGACTCCTGCATCGACATCGGTGAGAAATCATATTTTGATGGCACAATTAGCTGCTGTCCCCAGTATCTTTGTCCAAACTTCACGGTCTACTGTAGCATTCCACATCCTGACTATAACCATCAATACACCAGCACTCACTGTTTCATGATCTAATCTGCCGCTATTAACGCATGAGTTTTCACGGAGTTTCGGACGATTGAAATGACTGATTTGCACCTGATTTAACTCCCATGGTGTACGTGAAAATCATAATGGTTCTTTAAGTCTTTCAGTATACCAACAAGTTGTGATAAGCCAGTGCTCATAATGTCAAATAATACCAATTTATAGCAAGACAAACAAATATCCGGATACAAACCGAGAATTAATTGTGATAGTAAAAGTGGATAGCGTCACTGCAGAATTTTACAAGTTGAACGCATGTTTATCACAGATACAAAACTCTGTCACTGAAGCGTCATCTCTGGTTGATCTTCAGATACACGTTCTTAGGATGTCTGTCGTATCCAGTCGATCGATTTCTTCAAGTCATCATTGGAGACTGTTCGCAGTATCACAGACATATCTTCCGATGTCTTTGGAAACTTGTGTATGAACAGTCTTTCTAAAGCGATCTCCATCAGATTGTTGGAGAAGTTAAACTTTGGAGGCTCAAGCGATGTACCTGTGATCCTGGCATGGCGATTCAGAGCAAGGCATGAAAAAATAAGAACGAATTGCAATGATATTAAAGATGATATTGTTAGACAGGTTAGACAGAGATGAAGGTTCACCTCATGATAGGTTAGCCCATTTAGGCAGATATTAGGTTTTATAAGGGGTAGAATAAGGTCAGATTAGGCATAGGTTAGGGATGGACCAAAGAAAGGTTAGAGGACCAAACTTACCTTCATCACTATGGCGCCTCCTCGGTGTCTAAATCTTAACTTTGCCTAACTGATTGAGCTCCATAACTTCCAGCATTCGTGAAAGAATATTATAAACCAAACTGTTTCCTAACTCAAGCTTATGAGAACTTTCTTCGGACTACTGACAATTCAAAGCAAGAAAGTTTTGTGAGTACCTTGATATGATTATGAGCAATAAATTGTGCTCTAAATGTCATTAGTAAATATCATTGTACAACACTGTGCAACCTTATCAAAATAAGTTTTGTCCACAGTGTCCAAGTCTTATCCTTAAATTCGGAAGATCGTTTAACCCTCGGAAGTCAGCTTCGTGAAGCTCCCAGATATCCACTTCTTTAGTGACCACGTGGACTGTGACATAGTTGTTCAGTTTCCACAAGTTACGTTTGATTGCGAGAAGTAGTGAACGTGGATCCATGAGAGACTTTTAATGGAAGTCACATTTAGCATACTTCACGCTTATATTAACATCTAATCCCAAATGCACTGTTTCGACGACAATGATTGAGTGAGTATCTTAGCCAGTTGACTACGACAGGGGAGGTTAGCACTAATGATGGATGATTAAGCTATAGGTTATTGATTTTAAGTAATTATTCACCCAATCGCTGTTATCAGTTACAGTCTTAGAAATCATGACAACCTAGTTGTTATGGAGCGTTGTCAGACTTTCATGCGGTAAAACTTCTTCTTAAGTAATGTTTCAGTCATTTAGAATAGAATACCAGCTAGTGTGTTTGATGCGAACACAATTCCAGTGTTCACCCCAGTCATCAGACTGCTCAAAGATGACAATGTGTAACGACAGAAGGCAAGAGTCAGACAACAGATCATTTATTAAGGAAATCAACGCATATTTTTATATTTCATGTACATCACTATGGATATTTAAACAAACAAACACAGTCTTCCGATTGGTGTTTCTCACGTAAAGTTAATCTTTCATCTATTTGTGACTGTTTCTTGAATGTCAAATCCTCTATATGTTAACTGCATCCGCCTACGCAAAGTCTGCTGTGGTCGGTTTTGAATCAATCTTTGTTCACATTTTCTCACGACAAATCTTGGGAACGTAAACATTGACGTAAATTACTGTCTACCAATTTGGCTAGTAGACAGCTCTCACCACAAATGCACTCCTGCGTCTGACTCCTACACCCTCTTTTTCACCCTGCATTGATATTATAAGTTCATTAAAAGTATAAGTTACAACAAACTACAATTATAAATGTTAATATTATTGGAAGGATATAACAAACATTTCTACACGGGCCATTAATACCAGTTCACACCTAATATAAAAGTTAGCATAACAAGACTAGTTAGTTAGTGTACCAAAATAATCACAGTTCCTACACATTATATAAATATATATGTATCTATAAATTTATAAATCACTCCTTGAGGAATCCACTAGCTTTCTTCTGTGCTGCTATCGTTTATTTTTTTTTCTCTCACCATTTTATCTCTTATATGACTTTTCGAATGAGAATAAAAATGTACATATTTGACCACTTATAATGACAAGTGATCTGCAAACATTACTGGTCTCATATCCTACAACTGCTCCGTAAATTACCCATTACCTTCCTCCGCGATGCATCCTGGATGACATATGTGGAATATTACCCTTATACTAATAAAAAATCACAATAACTATCTGTTCAGCGCCAGTAAATCTGCTTATTTAAGAAATAATGAACACATGCTCATGGTTGTATTTGAAATCTCACTGACTCGTGTGATGACAGTGTAAGTGTTAGATTTGGAATTTACTTCGACCTAACAATAACCGCTCTTACAAACTCCTTCACCGTTTATGACCTTAATTAGTACTCTGCCTACGTGCAAGTACTAAAGAACGGAATCAAAGTTAGAAGACTCGAAATGGCAAGTGTAACCGGACCGGAATTGTATTTACACAAAGAGATATGGAATTTGATAAGAAATAAAAAGTACACACTTATCTGGATGTGAGACGGTTGTCAGCTCGTAGGGTGTACTAGGTGAAAGTACAGAGAGAGAGCGAGACAGTAACCGTACAGGAGGAACCGGAGTACAAAGCGGAAGTGGGGTTAAACATGTCAGGTTGCTTTCATTCAAATAAAAGTTCAAAGGTACAATGTACACTACAGGTTATCCCCCTCTTAGAAGGTTGGTGGGATAACAGCAAGCTTCGATATATAAAAGGAACAAGGTGGCGTACAATAACAGTGAATGGACAAGAAAATGTGAAGATAGTAATAAAATAGTTGTTTCTCTTTTTTTTAAAAAAAATATGTGTTGAGAAAGGAAAGAATGAAGGAAAAAAAATTAAGGCAATTTATGAGCACTATGTACATGATCAGTGGAGTAAGATGGAATATAAGAAGGAATAACGCTGGTGCCTTGGTGCGATTTCAAGCTTCTTAGTCGTCTGTTTGTTGTTGTTTTTTTTAACATCGTTTATTTTTCCTTATCTTTTTTATTTTTTATTTTTATTTTATTTATTTATTGAGTTTTTTTTTACGACATACTATTACGAGCTGGAATGTTTGTGCGGCGTTGCGGAGACCAAACGGCATTCGAAGAAATTCGAAAAGACCAAAAGGGGTGATCACTGCCGTTTTAGGAATGTCATCTGGGTGAACTGGAATCTGGTGATAGGCCCTGGTTAAGTCCAGTTTACTGAATACCGTGGCACCCTTTAGAGACGACGTAAGGTCATGTATGTGTGGTACGGGGTAGCGATCTGGCATGGTCTGTGCGTTAAGCCTGCGGTAATCACCACAAGGCCTCCAATCTATCCCGTTATTCTTTGGTACCACATGTAAAGGGGAAGACCACGGGCTGGTGGAATGACGGATTATCCCCATATCTAACATATGTTCGAATTCAGCCTTCACGGCTTGTAGTTTTTCTGGGGACAATCGCCGTGGCTTAGCGAAGACCGGTGGACCAGTGGTCACGATATGATGAGTGACAGTAGACGTCACACAAGGAAGTTTAGAAACCGGTTTGAACAGATTGGCAAAGGACTGAAGAACTTCAGCGTAAGGGCCGTTAGAGGCAGGGGTTGAATATACTGGGCTTAATGCAGGTATGTGTGTCACAACACCGGAGATCGAAAGGTTTGTAGCTGAATCGATCAGTTTGTGTTTGCCAGTATCAACCAGTAGCTGATAGTGTTGCATGAGATCCATGCCAATAATACCGGTAGTTACATCTGCTACAAGGAAAACCCAGCGAAATGACCTACGTAGGCCTATGTTAAGATCCAGGAACCTTTTACCATACGTTGTGATTGGCGAACCGTTTGCGGCGCGAAGCTGTAAGGAAAGTGGCCGCTTGCGCTCTTCAGATGTTGGTGGAATCACGCCAACTTCCGCCCCAGTGTCAACCAGGAAGCGTGTCCCAGTGGTACGGTCGGTAACATAGAAGAGGCG